CTTGAAACCCTACACCCCGAACCCTAAACTTTAAATCTTAAACACTAAACCCTAACCCCCCAACCACACCCACACCACGTGGGTGGGGGGTAGGCCCTAAACCTTAAACCTTCAACCCCAAACCCTGAACCCCCCAACCACACGCGCACCACAGGGGGGGTGGAGGTAGGGATCCAAGGCCCTTGGAGGATGGGTGGGGATACCAAAGGGGGGGTGGCAGCCCGAGACAACATATATATATATATATGTATACATAAGGAAACCATATAAATTATATAAAGCCCAAAATCTGTCTAACATGGCCAAGGATGGCCAGTCAATGCTGTGGCCCCGGCCGTACTGGTGGTGGTGCTGGTCGTGGTCGTGGTGGTGCTGGTGGAGGTCGTGGTGGTGCTCGTGGACTGCAGCTTTCGAGCATCAGTCCTAACCCTAAACCCTAAACCCTAAACCCTAAACCCTGAACCCTAAACCCTAAACCCTAAACCCTAAAAAGCTGACCTTTCCAAGCCCTGAACCCCCCCCCCCCCCCCCCCCCAAAGTCGGCAGATCTTGGAGGTGCGCCACTGTGTCGACTCCAGGGGCAATACCGGACAACAAAAGCTATTGCTCTGTCGAAATCACTAACCCCCGAAACCCTAATCCCAAACCCTAAACCCCAAACCCTAAACCCTACAGGCACTTTTGACAAGTACTCCCCCCCCCCCCCCCCCCGCCCCGCTTTCGCTCCTAAAGTGGATCAGCGATACTAAATTGGGCATCCGCAGACGGGCACCTGTAGCTCCGATGTCCCATAGCTCAGCAGTGCGCCTCTAAGTTCACATGACCCCAAACAAGTCTTTAGGCTTTAGGCTTTAGGCTTTAGGGTTTAGGGTTTAGGCTTTAGGCTTTAGGGTTTAGGGTTTAGGGTTTAGGGTTTAGGGTTTAGGGTTTAGGGTTTAGGGTTTAGGGTTTAGGGTTTAGGGTTTAGGCTTTAGGGTTTAGGGTTTAGGGTTTCGGGCTAAGACTCCTGAAGCCCTAGAGCCTCTTTCGCATCCCCCAGCTCTCCTAAGCACGCCGAAGCTGATCCCGTCCGAATACAATGCCCCCTAAAGTTGAAGCCTCGCAATACCCTGGGAAGAGCTCAACCCGATAAAGCCACACTCCTACTTGGAGGTTCATGGTTACTTGTAAGTAGGGTTCTAAGGACCCTTAGGAAGGAATTTTTTTCCATGGTTACCCTACTTATAACCCCAGTTATACGTACCCGTGAACCTCCGAGTAGGTCCCTGCGGGGCGGATCCCTGGCCCTGAGCCCCTGTCGGTGATGGTAGTTGTGGAGGTGGTTGAGGTCGAAGTGCTTGTGGTGGTGGTTGTGGTCGTTGTGAACTGCAGCAGGGAGGCGGGGAGTTGTCTAGAGCACGTGGGTGGGGGTGGGGGAGCGGGGAGGCCGCGGTTGGGGGTCCAGTTTCTTCCAGGAACCTGCACCCCAAAAGCCTTCTCCGATTCTCTGGCAGGAGTATCTCTGCAATGCTGGGACGGGAGGACTGCAGTGCAGCACAAACCCCTGAACCCCTCGGGGATGGCCAATGGCTACTATAATCGCACCCAGGTTGGCCCTTAGCTTTAAGCCCTCTGCAAAATAGTTATATATACACACATATATGTCTGTACATAGGGTCGCCTTTAAGCCCCAAAAAAAGGGAACATCAAAAACATCCCAAAGCCAACCTAGGTATAAGGGTTTAGCTTTACAATCCCGTGCCTCCTTAACTCCTCAACCCATGTAACACACACAGCATATGGCTGCACGTGGAATTGCCAGGTATGAAGAGCTCAGGATGTTGCCCAGCGCGCAAGGAAAGAGTCTGCAAGGTCGTGCTTGGGGACGAGCCATGGGACTAGGACACTGGCTGGCCAACGTCCACGGCGCGTGTGCGCCGTACAAGCTTCATTCCAAACCCTAAACCCCAATCCCTTAGCTCTAAACCCGTAAACCCGTAAACCCCCTAAACCCTGAACCCCAACCCTAAAGGCCTGACATGTTGCAAACCCCTCCTAAGCCCTAAACCATAACCCTGCGAGGCCAAGTCGTCTACTGTACTGATCTGTCATTGGGTTTAGGCCTTGGGGTTTGTTCAGGGTTTAGGGTTCAAGGGTTTAGGGTTGAAGCGTTCAGGGTTTAAGGGTTTAGGGCTTAGGGCCGTGAAGCTCATAAATGTATCGCCGCTTCGGAAGATGCCAGCTAGCTTGTTTTGCAAACCAAACTTCACGAAAACACTCTGCACGGTGAGAGGGAAACAGCCATCAAGTTTGCGTCATCTCAGGGTTCCTAGGATGTCTTGACTTATACAGGGCCTAAGCCCAAAGCTCTAAATAACATCCAGTGCAGCATGTCGACTGTGACTAGAACTCTGAATCGTCAGGAAGACTTTCAGAGCCTCAAATCCTGAAAGCATGCTCGTGAAGCGCACCCTGCGGCTCATAAACCCTCAGCTCCTAAAACCTCTCCCCATGCATATCTGCATCCATACCACATACACATGCACGTGTAAGTATGATGTCGTATGCACATATGTGTACTTATGTATGTGTGCGTATACATACGGTTGAACAGTATCATATGCACACATAGAGACACATCATATAAACAACCCAAAACACATGTTGAGAGTATACTACAGTATCATATAGTACATTCCACAATGATGAGTTGTAGTACAAGATGGTAGACTCCCACAGCAGCACGAAACAAGTATAACGTTCTGTAGCCCTAAACCCTAAACCCTAAACCCCAAACCCTAAACCCCAAACCCCAAACCCCAACCCCTAAACCCTAAACCCTAAACCCCAAACCTTAAACCCTAAACCCTAAACCCTCAACCCTAAAATCTACATAACGAACCTCTTGGAGTCCAGGAAAGCACGAGCCTCGCATGCTTGCTTGCGGCGTGCCAAGACCCCGGTCAACTCGATGTGGCCCTTGCAGCCTGGACGTGTTTTGCCTACAGGGTTTAGGGTTTAGGGTTCAGGGTTTAGGGTTCAGGGTTTAGGGCTTAGGGTTTAGGGGTTAGGGTTTAGGGTTCAGGGCTCGTTTACGAAAGTGTAGGGTTTCAGGGGTTTAGGGTGTAGGGTTCAAGGTGCTAGAGGTTCGGGGGTTTCAGGGTTTAGGGAATACCTCGAAGCAAGAATTGTATGTCCTCACACAGCGAGAATCAAGTTTCCAGGTAGGGTGGTGTAGGGTTGGGTTTGTGGCCTGGGCGGCTTGGGGTCTAGGGTCTTGGTGGTCATGCGGTAAATGCAAACCTACACCCGAAACCTCAAAAAACCTGAGATCCTAGGTCGCGTAGGATGGTGGGGTCCCGGACTGCTGGACTTGTTGCGAGCTGGTGGGTGGGAAGGGTTTGGGAGTATGTCTGGATACTGGGGGCGCTGAATCCGCTCGAGACCGAGTCAAAGGAATATGGGGGGGTAGTTGGCCGGGCAGTTTCCTAAATTAGGGTCTCTTTTTAGGTGCCCATAATAAGGCGGGACCCTTCAAAAAGGATCCCAAAAAGGGACCCAAAAATTTTTCGAACTACCTATGGAGACATCCCAATTCTAGCCAGGGACTGGTGGGTCGATCTAGTTTAAAGATATGGGGGTTTCCGAAAATCGGGGTACCCATTTGGGGGTTCCTTTGAGGAATGTACTGCTTTGGGGTATATTAAGGGTACCCCTTTTGGGAAATACCCATATTCATGCGACGTCCGGCCTGATAATTGGCTCACCCATAAGCCACTCGTCATGCGATTCTGGACGTAACCCTTTAAACTGTACTAAGCGCGAGCGAAAAGGGCTTTTGGGCTTTTGGGTTAGCCAATTCCAGAAGCGAGTGCTGCAATTGTGGGAAGTTGACCCAACCCTAAACCCTAAACCCTAAACCCTAAACCCTGAACCCTAAACCCTAAGCCTTAAGAGCACGCATACTGCACAGCACCCCGACCTTCATTGGTCCAGCACTTCCCAGCAGGGTCCCAGGCATAGCTGACACCCTCAGTATCCTCGGCCGCCAACATTAGGTTGAGGGTTTAGGGTTTAGGGGATAGGCTGGCGTCCGAGATGAACCCTCCTTAAAGTTGAGTTAGCTACACTTGGTGGTCTCAAGCAGCCACCTGACCCTGGCTCACAGTGTAGGGTCCCTATAAGGGGCATGTAGCGCAAGTCTGCCTAAGACTCCCCACTAGTGGCACCTACCCCCCCCCCCCCCCCATGAACGCCACACAAGAAAACCCAAACTCTGCCTTCAAGCATCAGGGGGCTGTTTAAGGGTTCGCTGATGCTGCTGCCGCGCGGCATCGTAGTCGAAAAGGCACCATGCGCCACAATGGGAAAACCTTGTCTTGAGGGCAGTCAGTGGGCTCCATTCATGCGGCTTCTCCCCCTCAACTCAAATATGATCCGCATGTCGGAAGATCAACAAGCACATCCGGTCATCAACCACATGCATGCAGTACTTCGCACATCTTAACGAAGAACACGTAGGTAGACTGAACAAACACTTCCCTAACACCTTTAATTGGTTCCATCTTACAGCTTCTTCGGCAGACCCACATGGGGGTGTACGAGAATAATAAGGGACCCCTTACATAAACGCTCACATAGTAGGCTTCCCTTAAAATCAGGACCATAATAGGTACACCTTATCTCGGAAACCGCTTTTTCGCTGCCTTATGTTCTGTCACCGGGGCCGCGCCTTGTAAGTGTCTGGTGAGAAGGCATCAGGTTGCACAGAGAAGAAAAGCACGAGCAGTATCTGCGACACTTTGAAATCCTATAGTTGCACTAAAACCCTAGAATTTCCCTAAACCGAGTACGCAGGAAGGCGCCGCCATTCATGGCCATGCCTTTTTAACATCAGGGAGAACTTCTGTTGAAAGTAGACCTTCAAACGTGTCAGGTTAGTGGCCCTGGGGCGCTCAGTTGCATGTGCCGTACAGGGTGGGCAGTACATAAGGGACCCTACATGCCCTAAACCCTAAACGCTACCACATATGGTAGGTGCCCGGCATTTTGTTCGCCAGCGCCTTTCGGACGGCGCCGGTGTAGCTGTCGTCCTTGGCTGCTTCGATATGTTATACTTCCCAACGCCCCAGCCCCAGCACCGTAGCCACGACGCAACAAAAACCCACGAAATTATGGGAGCCCCCCGAATAGCAGGATTCTCTTATAGTAAGGACCCCAAGTAGGTACCCTAGTTTCGGAATCCCCCATCAGGGGGTTTCCGACATTTGCGGTACCTTATGGGGGGTCCTTATTTTCAGGGAATCCTACTATTGGAGAAACTCTATTAGGGGTCCCGTGTTTGCGTAAAACCCCCCATACGTATAATAACAATAGTACTTGAAGCGTTGGTCCTAAGCCTGTGAACTGTGAATCCCCTGCTCAGTCCACCCTAAACCCTAAACCCTAAACCCTAAACCCTAAACCCTAAACCCTAAACCCTAAACCCTAACCCTAACACCCGGAACTCTAACTAGCGTTCAGTGGTTAAGCCTTGCGTACCACGAAAGCGACTAGCAGCGCTCAAGAAGTAAACCTCGCAGGTGGGGGCTCCAGCACGACCAGACCGCAAGCACACACCACAAATCCCCGGGTTTAGGGTTTAGGGTTTAGGGTTTAGGGTTAGGGTTTAGGGTTTTGGGGTTTGGGTTTAGGGCTTAGAGTCCAGGGTTTGGGGCCTTGGAAGTTTTCGAGTTCCAGGCCTGTTAGGCCTGAACCCGAAACCCTGTAACAAAACCTTAAACCCAGCAGACCGCTACGACATAAGGGGACTCCTACAGTAATTACTAATTTTGACCTGAATACTAGGGTTCCCTTACAAGAAGAACCCTAATCAGGTACCCCGAATTTGGAACCCCCCCCCCCCCCCCATTTTGAGAGCCACTGCCACCTCGCGACGCATCCCTTTGCGCTAGGGCTTCGATCCTCTCCCTGCGAGATGTGGCCGTCACCTTGGGCGGCGTGTGGGATTCGGACGGCTACGGTTTTTGGGGGCTATGGTCCCTTTTTTGGGGTTTAGGGTTTGAGGGTTTTGTGGGGTATGGGGTTTCGGTTTTGACCGGGCTGTGGGGCTAATAGGAAAACAGACAGCAAAGTTGCAAGAGCAGCCACACGAGACAAGACGCAACGGCGCCAACATCCAGAAAAAAAACTGGTGATTGTGACGCGCCGATAACTTGGGATCTACCCAGCAGAATATCCATGGTATTGCCTTATCTGCAGAATGCTGGTTGTGATCTCTCCTTACTCTGTCCGTCAATGCGCAACCCATTTCCACGTGCCTCATTCATAGGGGGCTACCCAACATGGAGGTTCAGGGTACTTATAACCCAACGATAAGTGTAGTTGTAACCCACTTATACGCCCCTTAAATTTCCCAATAGGGTCATAATTGGATTATGAGTACAGTGGAAATTGGGTTGCTAAGTACCATGAACCTCCAAGTATAGGTTTAGGGTTCAGATGCTGCACCAACTCCAGAGATCTGAGCCCCAAAAGCCGGACGAACACTGAAGCACTGACGCCGACCTTTCTCGGCCCTCTTACTTAGTGTAACTAGGCGTTGCAGGTGTTTTTTGGGTGTTCTGGGTTTTGGGGGTCCATGTATCCTGTACATCCCTAGACTGCCATGACCGCAACCCGAAGTTCAGGGTCCATTTGGGCCCATTTTTGGCAGCTTTAGGCCGCGCGAAGTCAAGCCAAAGCCATGAAATCATGGGAGGAGAAGGGCGTCCGGGACATAAAGCCCCTAAACTTGGGATGTTCCCCCTGATACTCACAGTCCTTAATGGAGATGATAATAGGGGGTATTATAAACCCTTTTTAAGGACTGTTTGTCTACGGGGGAAGATCCCAACCCTAAACCCTTGCAGCCTTTCCAATGGAGTTTAACTCACGGATACTTACAAGTAGGGTTGTCGGTGTGGTAACTATGGTTGCAACATCAGGGTGCCTTATGCCCTACTCATACGTACCCATGTTCGCATTGGCCCTTCAAAGTGTACCCTTACATACACCTTATATGCCCTGTGCAAATTAAGGGCCCAGGCATCAGAACCCTATAGCCCTATAAAGGAGGTAAGGGACCATATTGAGGGCCCATGACAGTACCCTTAGAGTACGGGCCCCCAATTCCCCATGATGCAAGCTGAGACTTTGATTATAATCCCTATTATCCCTATTATACTCCCGAGTATAGTCCCAATTATAATCCTTATTAAGGAGCTGTTAGTATAAGGGGGAACATCCCGAAGCTGAGACGTTGAGCTTGGCGACAATACCGGGTCATGAGCGACTCGGTGAGCTCCGGCACAAACTTGACACAAAGGTCTTCCTCTTAGGGTTCTTAAGGGAGGGGGGGTATGTTGCCCCCCCCCTTGAACCCCCCCCCTCCCTTAAGAGCTCTAAAATCCTCTGTGGAGCTTAGTTCTGATATCTCAGATCAACCCTGAGCCCTTAACCCAACACCCCTAAATCCCGAGCCCTGAACTGAGAAAAACAACAAGCTGAACCCAAGTCCGAAGCCCTGAACTCTACACAGAGCTCCACCCTAAATCCTGCGCCCTAAGCCCTGAAACCTAAACTCTAAACGCTAAACCCTAGACAGAACTTCACGGATTGAGGCTTTGGTGTGACTCGTGATTTCAAAGCCCATGCTGAGGCGAAAAGCTGAGAACCTGTCCCTGAGGGCCCACTTGTCTACTTGGAGGTTGTAGGGTTTGGGGTTAAGGGTTAAGGGTTGAGGGTTTAGGGGTTAGGGCTTACTTGGAGGTTCATGGGTCGTTGCAAGTAGGGTTTTAAGAAGGGGCCTATGGTCAGAGCCTTGTTGAGGGTCCGGATAGGCCTACTTATAATTACCCATGAACCTTCAAGTAGGTTTGCAGTACTGGTCTCAGCTCGCTGGGGGCGGGCTATGCGAAGGTGGCGGTGGGAGTTCAGTATCTGAGGTGTTTAGGATTTCAACTCTAGGAGGAAACGCGGCGCCCCGTCCTGGGGAGGGGGGTAGTATAGAGGGGGGCAGTAGCGGAATCCATGAAGACAAGTTCCCGCCACCCCCCCCCCCCTCTCAGCCCCTCCACTCAAGCCCGGGAAGAACAGTGAATCTGCAGGAGCCTTGCACAATTCATCCTTGTGCTTCCTTGGCTCCAGGGGATCTTCGGAGGCTTCCTTGAGGGTTTAGGGCTCTTTTTGGGGGTTTCGGGTCTGTAGGGTTGGAAGTGCAGGGTTTAGGGCATTTTGGGGAGGTTTAAGGTCTGTAGGACTTAGGGTTTAGGATCTTTAGAGCAAAAGCGGAGGGTTCCTGGGGGCGTGCGCTTGTGGAGATGAAGACTGCTGAGGGCTCCATTCGACAACGCTCTGAGGTTGAGAATTGCCCCCGAACCCCGCCCAGATCCTCATAAGCCTAAAACCCTAAACCCTAAACCCTAAGCTTTCTGGTTCTTAGCAGATTCATCCGTTCCCTACAAGCGCCCCAAAAGCTTGTGGGTTCAGAGTAGGGCCGCCAGGGCCCACTCCAGGGTATCCGACTCGTTTCTTGGTCCCTTCGAAGAGTTACTGATAGGGTACACACACGCACACACGCAAAAATACACAGAAATAGAATCAACTGCAAAAAAGAAGAACCTCAGTTCTGTTTTTGTACTATTCGGAGACCTGGTCAGTTTGCTGCGGCTCAAATCCTTGCTGCAGCCCGTCTCCCGTAGTCCAACAGCCATTTCTGCACTCTAAATGCCTTAGCCCTACCTGGAACTCCCCCCAAGTGGGGGTTTAGGGTTCAGGGTTTAGGGTTGCGGCCTAAGTGCACCCTAAATGGGAATACTTAGGGTATTTTGTTGTGTACCTGGGCTCTAGGTAAATCCCCCCCCCTTTCCGCGCTTTGAAGGAGCCACATCCCTGACAGCCCCCACACATTACCACGCCTGGGAACCTGGACCCCTGGAACTCAATCCTTGAAGAGCGGGAAACTTGACTTCATAGGGGTCCCGCCCCAGGTTCCCAACCTGCATATCCCAGCCGCTTTGCCACCTCACGCTCCTTGGGGAACTTGTTGCAGCCATCTGTGAGGCAGGTGCTTTTGGATCCCGACGCAAGTTTGAGACTGGATGAACCCGAACATCGGGTCACACATCCTACACTGCGAGAATACCCAGTAAGGTATATGGACCACAGACCCTTCTAGGGTTCACATCGTCTCCAAAACAGCCGTGCTGAACTGAACCTTGAGCATAGTAGTTGGACCCTACACACTTCTAGATGGGCTTGTTTAGTTCTCACAACAGTTTGGCGGTTGACAAGATCTCACGAGTGTCCGCAGATCCTGTGCTCCCGTCACCGGCACAGGCACCACCAGCGCAGAACGCCAGAGCCTCTGAACCCAATAAAGACTACTGTAAATCCTAAACCCTAAACCCTAAAAAACTAAACTCCAAATTCGAAAATTATAGCCCAATCCAGGCCACGTCCAGGCCCCCAAACCTACGTCAAAACCAACCAGCATCTGGACCTTAGAACCCCTGATAGCCCAGTAACCACCTGATGGTAGGGAAACCTTAGATTCCCTTAAGGTTTAGGGTTTAAGGTTTGGGGTAATCAGGGTACCCCGTTTGGGGGTTGGTTACTTTGAAAGGGACCCTTGAAACCAAGAACCGGAAAGCCACCCTAACACCACAACCCCCGTGAAGAGAGCAATCCCCATTGAGCCCCAAACCTCGACCCCAAAACCGTAAACCCTAAACCCCGAAACCTCGCTGGACTGAGCTTCCCAAAACACGTTTCCCCAACTGAAGGCCCAATGGGAATGTCGTGAAAGTCATCCAGCCGAAGTCCAGGTTTTGGGTTTAGGGCTTAGGGCTTCAGGGTTTAGGGCTTCAGCACCCTAGACCCTGAACAGCAGCGTGCCACCTGTTTCAGCGTAGCACTTCTTCTCCGCGTCCCACGCGTAGGCGATCCTGTCCTGAAATCTCAGGCGCAAGATAGACTTCATGAAGGGGTTAATCTTCTTCCCCTTTAGAACCCCTTTGTATACCTTATATAGCCCCTAAAAACCTAAGTAGCCCCCAAATCACCCCTAAATAACCTCTAAGGTCCCTTATAAGGCTCTTTCCTTTAGTCCCTTGACTTTACAAAGCTAATCAGGGTAGTTCCCTAAATCAGGCACCCTTTTTGGGGTCCTTCTTATACGGGTGCCGTACTCTCTCTCTCTCTATATATATATATATATACAAAATATAGGTATAATAAAGGACCCAAAAGAACGGACCCTAATATGGATAACTCCCCCACAAGGAAGCCTAAAGCCTTAAACCCTGGAGGCTCTAAACCATAAACCCTGCAGGCCCTACCGTCGCCCCAAAAAAGCACCTTAGACTCCTTACCAGTCAGATCAAAGGCGCGGGATACTCGAAGTCGAAAATGCAGTGTGCGCCGCAGTGGCTGAACCTCAGGAGCTCGCCGAAGGTTTCTAGGATTTTACAGGCCGGTGGCCTCTTTAGTTGCCCTTATGCCTTAATATAGACCCTGGATGCCCCCCGAATAAGAACCCCGGATAGATGCCCTACAAAACAGAAGCCCTACTTAGAAAGACCTGCAAGCCATCTAATTTCTAGGGCTTAGGGGTTACAGTTCTGTAGTACCGGGAGGCTTCGCTTGCAGCACAGGTGTTTATGGAAACTGGGTGAGCCAAACCCCTACGAAGTAGGGCCTTACGAGTACCTGACTGCAGGATAGCACACCAAGTCCCCCCAGCTTCACACTGTAAACTTTAGTCATCCGAAATGTTCTTGTGAAACTCAGGGCTCCAGGGAGTTTACGGTTCAGGGTTTTGGGTTTTAGGTTTAAGGTTTTAGGGTTATAGGGCTTATTGGGATGGGTAGGGTATTCGACAACCCGTTCTGGTCGCTCATCGAACGCCTCTCGTCAACGATGTCTGCGTCGTGCCAGTGTATGGCCATGCGTGAGGTTGTTGCACAAAAGGGCTTTTTCCTAGGTTCCGGTTCTCAACGCTCCGTTGCAAGCAAACCAGTAACCAACACACTCTCTCTCTCTCTCTCTTCCCTGAATCTGAATCGCGAAGCCCTTAACCCTACACCCTAAACATAATCGGTTAATCCTACACTGATTACTGCCAATTGCTTAAGAACCCCCAAAATCAAAAATATCCTTTTCTCAATATAGGGATGATTGAAGCCAAATAGTAGGAGATCTGCATGCCGTGGGTCGGGTAGACGTAGCCGCATAAGCTCCGAAGCCGGTACAGAAAGCATGGACAATTCGCTGACTATTTTTAGGGGTTTCCGAAACTTGGAGGTACCTTATTGGGGTCCTTGTGAAGAAGGAATCCTACTATTTGGGGGGTCTATATTTAGGGTCCTTTATTTTCGTAAACTCCCATTTTCCTGTGGTGAGGCTGTTGGCGCCTAGGGCCCAGGGCTTATCAGACTTTGCGTTGCACTGTTAGAGGTGCTATAAAGCCTAAACACAAAACTTGGGATGTTCCCCCTTGTACTAACACTATACTCCCCTTAGAACCTTGATAAAAATAATACTTTGGTTTTGTATGAACAAAAATTTAAAAAATCCCGAGGGGGATAAAGAACAGTCCTTAATTGGGATTATCCTATCCCCCCCAATTATTATCCCTACTCAGGACTCCCAACACCAGACAGCAAACCTCACCATTTGCACCCTAAACCCTAAACCCTAAAACCTAAACCCTAAACCCTAAACCCTAAACCCATTGGTGGGTCGATTTTCTCCGAAAACATCGGCCGCTGATCTCCAGGGGCGCCGGTAGGCGCACGAGGAAGGCTTCGCAGCTGCGGCCAGCGACCGTCAGGTCCTCAAAGTGATACCTGAACAGATCAGGGTTTAGGGTTTAGGGTTTAGGGTTTAGGGTTTAGGGCTTAGGGCTTAGGGCTTAGGGTTTAGGGTTTAGGGTTTAGGGTTCAGGGTTTAGGGCTTCGGGTTTCAAGGTTTTGTCTAGAGTATCCTTCTGTACCATTTAAACACGGACATGTGCCTTGAGTATTGGCCATGTGTTTAACATATCAGCATAAGGTTGCTCTAGCTAGGGCTTATAGGTACAGGGTTTACAAAGGGTTTGAGCAGCGGAGGATCAGGTCGGGTCGAGGCCGCGCTTTGTTCTTCTCAGAGCACCTGAACCCTAAACCCTGAAACCTAAACCCTGAACCCTAAACCCTAAACCCTAAACCCCCTGAACCCTGAACCCTAAAGCCTGAAGCCTAAACTCCGCTTGGGTTGGAGGCCCATGCCGAAATCTCAAGCAGCCTAAGATCGCACCTCTCTTCTCGGGCGCACTTGGAGGTTCAGAAGTGTACTTATAAAGTAGGGGAACTCTGGTTAGAACCTTGTATACGTGGTTCTGATTTAGGGTTGAGGGTTTAGGGTAAACCCGAAATTCCTAAACCCAAAAACCTAAACCCTACTTATAGGTTATCCCCTTCATCAGACCTGGCATGGAACAGCCCCTACTCAGCCGGCGCAAAAAAGGCGGAGTCAACCTTGACTTCAGGTTTAGAGTTCAGGGTTTAGGGTTTAGGGTTTTGGGGTTTAGGATTTGGGGTTTGGGGTTTAGGGTAATACCAGCTTGGTTGCCATCGAAGGCGTTAAAGATGGCAAGCTGACTTTTGCTGTGAAAATCCTGAGCCCACGCCTCAACAACCAAGAACCCGTTCATGAAAATCCGTCTGGGAATTTTAGCACGAATCTCCAGCTGCCCTAGTTTTTGCTTTAAGGCTTACATGGTTCAGAACGTGTGATCAAGCATCGGAAGGTCGAGGTACTTGGAGGTACCACGCCAGATGTCGGATAGATCCACTCCCTCTGAGCGGACCACTGAAGTTGATGCGTCCTTCCGAAGGTCTGGGAAAAACATCGTTGCTGCAAGAATACCTGGACTGCACCCCCCCCCCCCCCCCCCAGGACATGTTTGTGGCCAGCCTGGTTTCGTCTGCACCCTTTGGTGGAAGTTGATTTAAGTTGATTTAATGGTGGAGAATCATACTTACGTTCTAAGCCTAATGTTAGGGCCCACTTAAACCTTCTGATATCTACGAGTACGAGTAGGGCCCCAGAAGTCCAGAAGTATGGGTCTTCCAGGCAGGGGGGGGGGGGGATCCAGATGGTGTTTGGAGGATTCGCGTGCCTAGGTTACCGGTCTAAGGGTGCAAACTTTGAGGATTTGCGGGAGTTGTTCTACATGGCCCTTTTTGTTGGTGGACGGCCTGTGAATGTGGGCAATGTACAGCAGCCGCCACCAGCGTTTTAATCAAAGTCTCGACATTCCTCCACCCAGCCG